TGTCAGTCTCAATGCCCTCGATCTGATTACCCTACAACGACTACTCTCTGTCCTGGCCTCAGGTGGCGCCGGCGGAGGCAGCGCTGGACTGACCCGTTGGGACCAGATGGTGAATGGTGAACAATTTCCTCCACCAACCTCCTCCTCTCCGTCCCCAGACGCGACGGCTTCAGCTGCGGTGGCTTCCTTGCTCCTGCGACAGGCTAGGAAACCGCTCCAATCCCTGGTTGTGAAGAACACCCTATTGGAGAGTCTCCGATGGCAACAGAGTGGCGGTGGTGGTCTCCTGGAGCCGAAGAGGTCTGCGACAGACAAGGACGCTGACGCTCAGGACTTACCTGATGGCCCTCTGGACCTTCGGCATCCCCTGCGTAACATCTACACACCACAGGTCTCGTTGGCTGGGGAACCCGTCAGACAGAGATGTAAGTTCAGTCTTCCTTTCTATAGCTTGTCTCGTGGCCTGTGCTGCATCTTCTGGTTGATAGGATACGCTTTAGACGTTTGCCGGAAAGTCTTCTCGTAAACTAAGTGTCTTTGACCCGATAAATATTCCTAGTTCCGAATAAAATTATGCCAGTAACCACAGTAGCGTATAAATACTTGACCGATATCTAGAAGGATGGAAATTCTGATTAGCCTGAAGAAGAATCTGCCTAGGTAACATGCTTTATCCAACAATATTTCTCCCTCATCTGCGTTAGTCACATTAGCGTAGACCCACTGCTAAAATTGTATAGTTTTTCGCGGAACATTAATGCTTACACAAACTCAATTTGGTCCCAGGACTTGCCCTCTCTTCTTCCTCTTCTGGGGATGATGAACACGATATGGTAGCTGGACTCAGAATATTTGCGCATATTAACTCTTTGTTTCTGTAAGTGCTGGAGGAAATTTATATAAGTATGCTACTTTTGAGAAACATCAAAAATGCGGGATTCTTCCTGTTTAACAGGTCGTAATTATAAAGCAGTTGAGGAGTTCTCAGCAAGATTTGTGTAGTCTGATATCCATGAGCTTACCGAATTCGGAACAGCCTGCGCTTTCAACAACCAATTGCAAAGGTCTAAGGTAGGATCCAGTAAGAAATAAAAGC